GTTGAGGGCATTTTCTTCAATGCCTGGCCAATGGTTATTTTGTGACTAATATCCCTTAAAGATTATCTATTGTTTTATCACTGTGCTGTTTATAGGGATTGCGATGTGTGCATATCGGCTACTACGTTTCCTGCTTATCAACAGACACTACGTTTCAGCAAGGAACCTCACTGGCTATAATGCTAGGGTATTCCTGAAACCCTGGAACGTACTCAGATACTTAAGAGGCCCATTTCCAAGTGCAGCCAGATCTGGACAGTATCCAGGCTCACCAAGTAGCGTTCATCTCTCAGAAATGCCAGGCAATGACCATCTCCAGGAGAGAATCTAATCACTGCCCCTTGACATTCAATGATGTTACTATTATTTGAATGGAGGGTTACCATTAACTACACATGGACCTAGCCATATAAATACTGTGGCTTCATGAGTAGGTCAGAGGCTAGGAATACTGCAGCAAGTAACCTATGGCCCAACATCCCAAAGCCTGTCCACCAAGGCACAAGTCGGGAGTGAGGTAGAATACTTCCCACTTGCCTGGATGAGTGCAGCTCCAACAACACTCAAGAAGCTTGGCACTAGTTAGGACAAAGTAGCCCACTTGATCGGCTTCCACCAACACTGAGTAGCAGCATTGTGTACTATCTGCACGATACACTGCAGAAATTCACCAAGGCTCCTTTCTGCACCTTCTAGAAAGACAAGGGTGGAAGTTCATGGGAACACCACCCCTGGAAATTCCCCTCAAGCCACTCACTGTCCTGAATTGGAAATATATTGTCGTTCCTTCAGTGTCGCTGAGTCAAAATCCTGGAATTCCCTCTATAATGATATTGTGGGTCTATCTAAAGCACATGGACTTAAACGGTTCAAGAAGACAGATCACCACTACCTTCTCAAAGGGGCAACTAGGGATGGGCAATAAATGTTGTCCCAGCCAGTGATGCTTGCATTCCACTAATGAATTTAAAGTGGCTGTCCATCACCTTTGACGTGGCAAATGAAAATGGGTGCAAAATATGAGCCCCACCAACAATGCCAAGATCTTAACAGTTAAGTTATTTTTAAAGAAGTTAGTTTTTGACATGCAAATTTGCTTCACTTTTGTTGAGTTGTGGTGGTCTTGGCAAAATTCAAGAGCTGGACAGCCAGTGGGATTTCCTTGGCCCTCCTATTTTTCTTTGATCAGTGGTCTTTACGTACACTCGGGTAGAAAGCAGGTTAACACTGACAGCTGCTTCTGATCCATTGCAGGTATTGTCCTAAATGTAAACAGCACAGAGAAGCATCCAAGCAGTTGATGCTGTGGTGGCTCCCGAATGTACTCATCATTCAACTGAAGCGTTTCTCTTTCCGCAACTTCATCTGGAGAGACAAGATCAATGACATGGTGGAGTTTCCCATTAGGTGCGCAACGCAGACTGATGCTTTTACTCCATTTTATTTTTGTTTTAAGTCCTGTCGCCTGCTACTGAATCTCTCTCTTTATAGTGAGTTATGAAGAGAGACTGGGTTTGTTTTCCTTAGAACAGAGGAGACTGAGGGGGAGCATACAAGGGGAATAGACAGGATACACAGGAAGAAACATTTCCCCTTGATGGAGGGATCAGTGACCAGAGGGCATAGATTTAAGGTAAGGGAAACTAAGTTTAGAGGAGATTTGAAAGAATGTTTTCAGCCAGAGAATGGTGGGAATCTGGAACTCGCTGCCTGTGAGGGTGGTAGAGGGCACAACATTTAAGAAGTATTTAGATGTGCACTTGCGGTGCCAAGGCATACAAGGTGATGGGCCAAGTGCTGGAAAGTGTGATTTAATAAAAAGGTGGTTGTTTTTGAGCGTGAATGTGAAGGGTCAAAGGGCTTTATTTTCTGTGCTGCAGATCTCTATAACTGTAAAATCATACAGCACAGGGGGGGCCATTCAACCCAATGAGAGATCTCTAGCTTTTTAGGAAAGAAAGTATAACGATGAAGGTAAATTCTGGCGGTGAACATGACAGGAAATCATCCCAATCGGTACCATAGCTGGTGGGAACTTCAGTCCACCGGATAATGTTGGGCACTATATCATGGGCCCTCACTTCAAAACTAATGTCCACTTCAATGTTGCATTTGCAATGTGGCATCACTGGTGCGGGGCTGAAAAAAGAGCCCTGTTCATGTCATTAGGGTGAACTTGATGGAGGCACTTGCACAGAGTGGAGACAGTGTACTGAGAGCTGTGCTCTGTACCTGTCCCAGGGATAATTTGATGACAATATACAAAAAAAGGAGCAGATGAAGTAAATCCTGCAGCTCTTTGAGCCTTCTCTGTCATTCTATACAATGATGGCCAATCTGCTTCAACATTACTTTCCCATTCTGTCCCCAAGAGATCTAAAATCTCTCCTTTGCTGCCTGAAATAAATTCAGAAATGGAGCATCCACAACCCCCTGAGGTAGAGAACGCTAAAAATGTACAACACTGAGTGAAGTATTTTTTCCTCATCCGAGTTCTGCGTAAGCGACCCCTTAACCTGAGATTGTGTTCCCATGTTCTATGCTCGCAAATGAGGGAAAGCAATTGTCTATCTGTGAAGCTACTTTAGAGTCCTGATGTGGGACTGTGGAGAGGGATTTTAACTCTGTATCTGGCCTCATGTTATGATGTCCTGGGAGTGTTTGGGACATTGTAGAGGAAGCTTTACCCTGTGTTTAACCCTGTGCTGCATCTGTCCTGGGACTGTTTGATAGTGTAGAGGAAGCTTTACTCTGTCTCCATCAAACACTCCCAGGAGTGGTACAGCATGCATTTTGATATAGTGCATTGGGAACTTAATTTTGTATTTAACCCTATGCTGTCTTTGTGCTGGGAGTGTTTGATGGGGACAGTGTAGAGAGAGCGCTTTATTCTGAATCTAACCCTGTGTTGTACCTGTCCTGGGTACTTTTGAGACAAGTCCCTATTTTAAACATTTGCAGAAAAGTCAGAGCTGTGATTACTTGGGAATGAGAAGCTTTTATTTAATATTTTGTCAATCACTTTTCCTTAAAAGAAATCTGGACCTGAGCAAGTTCTGCATTGGTGTGAAGGATGTCCGACAGCCCCCTATTTATGATCTCTATGCAGTAATTAACCACTATGGTGGGATGATTGGGGGGCACTACACTGCCTATGCACGTCTACCCAATGACAAGAACAGCCAACGCAGTGATGTAGGTGAGTTAATATTCACCAAACACTCTAATAGCCTCTGGCTTGTTATAGTATTTATCTGTCTATGTATGTGAGCTGATAAGAGAGGCAGTTGCCTGTCATACTTATCCCCATTTCTTGAAGAAGAGTTACTAAACCAACTTAGAACTGCATTGTATCCCTGGATCTGACCAGTTGTTTCCTAAATTTGTTGGCCCTGGGGATTTTATAGCCTCGTGTTGATTTCAATGAGCTAATAATTCAGAAAATGAGTTCAGATTCCACTGAGTCATTTTTGAGAATTTGTATGTGGTTTTAAAAATCAGAAATGAAGACTGGTAAGTAAACCACAAAGTTTCAAATTGTTGCAAAAACACAGCTGGTTCCTTTAAAGAAGGAAATATGCTATCCTTGCCTGCCCTGGGTTTGCATTCATATTTCCCCTTAACTTTTTTCTGAACTGACTATTCATTTGTATCAAAACTGCTACTGGGGAAGAACAATAGCTGCAGCTATGCTTGCAACATACTCATTTCAGGAATGAATTTTATCTTATAATTGATTTTGTTGAATCTTAAAGTTAAGGCTCATTTGGCTTAATATAAATTTTCAAAGTTTTAGTCCGGAATAAAGCTAAAGGACCGCAAATAGAAAAAGCTGAAAGGGTACTTTTGTTCAATTCCTGTTACCTGCTTATGTCATCAAGGAAACGGGAATATCTCTGGATAAATAAAACAAAGAACTGCAGATGCTGGAAAACTGAAGCAAAAACAGAAATAGCTGGAGAAACTCAACAGGTCTAGAAGCATTCGTGCAGAGAAAGCAGAGTTAATGTTTTAAGTCCAGACTTCAGAACTGTCTGAAGAAGAGTCGCGGGACTCAAAATGTTAACTCTGCTTTCTCTGCACAAAGGCTGCCAAACCTCCTAGATATCTCTGAGCTTGTGAATAATAGACTAGTCATTAATTTCTCATCTAAAGACTTCCAAAGAAAGGTCAGCTGGGTATATACATATTGATATATATAGGTTCCAGTTCCAGATCCTGCATAGAGACCTTGCTGTCTTTGGGCTAGGGAGAGAACTAATAGCAGGAGCAGGCAGTTCAGTCCCAACAAACCCATTACAGAAAAACAGGAGAAGGCCATTTAGCTTTTCAATCCTGTTCCTATTCTGTTAGATCAGGGATGACCTCTACCTTGGCTCCAGTTGTCTAGCTGTTCTCTGTCCCTCAATATTCTTACCCAACAAATTACTTATCTCTGTTATTAAAACTTCAGTTGACCCCCAGCATCCATAGGCTTTTGGGAGAGAGTTCCAGATTTACACACACTAAAAAGTGCTGCTTCATAACATGACCCTCAACAGTTTTGCTCCAAATTCAAGCTTCTGCCCCTTGCTCTGAACGCTCTCTCTTTTGTCCCCCCCAGCTCCTGAGGAAATAGTCTCTCCTTAAATCTCTTTTAAACATCTCAATTAAGTGACCTATTAAACTTGTATATTTTAGGGAATACAGGGTAGGTCAATGAAGCTTAGTTTCATAATTTAACTAAACCTGGCATCATTTTGTGACTTTGCAGCTCTTCAGATGACATCCAACAAAAGATCTGAATTACTGAAGCATCACTTCTTTCCCTTTTTATTTATCTCCTTGAAATAAAGGCCAACATTTCATTAACCTCTCTTGATTGCTTTTGTGACTTGCTTTTAATCTTTTTTGCGCTTGGACTCCAAAATCATCATTTGTTGCCATTTAGGGTATAATCAGCTCCAGTTTCATCTAGGATTATTGCTGCAAACGTGCAGTTATGTAGATAAAGGAGTCTGTGATGATTCTCTCTCTCACATGGACACGTGTGTGCATTCAACCATTTGAGGAAAAGTGCAAACATGACCATCACTCAGCACCCCCCACTGTCAACATCCTAGGTGGTTACCATTCATCCCAAACTCAACTGGATTCACTATGTAAGCACAGTGGCTACAAGAGCAGGTCAGAGGCTGGGAATACTCGCCTCCTAACACCCCAAAGCCTGTCCACCATCGACAAGACACATGTCAGGAGCGTGATGAAATACTAAGTATTTGCCTGCCTGGATGCAACTCCAACAACACTCAAACTTGACACCATCCAGGACAAAGCAACCTGCTTGATTGGCACCACATCCACAAACATCCCACTCCCTCCACTAGCAAAGCTCAGTAGCAGCAGTGTATATCATATACAAGATGCACTGCATAAATTCACCAGAGATCCTTAGCCAGCACCTTCCAAACCCACAATCTCTTCCATTTGAAGGGCAGGGGCAGCAGATACATGGAAACACCACCCCTTGCAAGTTCCCCTCCAAGCCACTCGCCGTCCTGACTTGGAAATATATCACCGTTCCTTCACTGTCACTGGGTCAGAATCCTGGAATTCCCTCCCTGAGGGCATTGTGGGTCATAATCATAACAGCCCATGGACTGCAGCGATTCAAGAAGACAGCTCACTAACACCTCAAGGGCACCAAGAATGGGCAATAAATGCTGGGCTAGCCAATGACACCTATTACCCCAAGAGTAAATTTAAAAAAAGAATGGTTTCTGATCTCTGGACCCTTTCTGCAGTGAGATTTTAGCGGTTTGACGAAAATAGAAAACTTTTCTAAAAATGAGTACGTTACTAATAATGAACAATGTCTTTACTTTTCCTTTGCTTCAGTAAATAGAAAAGGATAATTTCATTGTTTGCACCTCATACAAAATGCATTGGGATAAGGATGCCTTTTCCTTGCATGTAAATGAAGAGTTGAAAATTTCCTCAATAGTATTTCTAGTTCGATGGAATCCTTTTCAAAATAAGTGTTTGAGCCTTTCCCTGAAAACTCAACCAAGAACAAGTTTATTATCACATTACTAATGTTGCGACATGTGACAATTTGTATGTTTCACCCCACTGCACCAACTATCCACTGTGCCCCTCAGTTCACTGTGTTGGACTGCCAGTTGTCTTCATGCTTCCATTGTGGTAACTGTTCTGTTCTTGTGCAGGTTGGCGTCTTTTCGATGACAGCACTGTCACAACAGTTGATGAAAGCCAGGTGGTTGCACGACATGCATACGTGCTGTTCTACCGTCGCCGTAATTCTCCAGTGGTAAGACCCTCGCGAACGAGAGCTGCCACCCGTGGAACAGAGTGCACAGCTGAAGCAGAAGGAACAGCCTCCCAGGTTTGTAATGAGGGGGGAGGTTCTCATCCCTAGCTCTTCGATCTTTCATAACAGAAACCAAGTATTGTTTGTTGCTATCTCTAGACTGATAGAAAAGTTACCGAAGTTTTTGGTGCAATCACTTAGCGTGCTCACTCTCTCTCCCAGCGCATTCAGAAATGTGCAGATATCCCATTGCTGTTTCATTTGACTTGCCAGTTAATAGATATGTATTGTGCAAGTCTCTAGCCTGAACTCTCCCTAAAGATAAAACTTTTTTTTTTTCCTTGACTTGGCCAAGGTGCTGGCAGTGACAAAATCCTGACATGTTACACTATCCACAAATTATTGCTCAAGGTCTGCTTCTGAAATTACCAGATCAACTTGTTTTGTAACCCCATTACTGAAGCAGTTTGAAATGTGTGCAACTTCCAAAGTAACACCTGCACTTCTGCTGATCTTGTCCTGAGAATTTCTTCTCCTTAATATATTTTTCCTTAATTTCTAGGAGGTGGCTTAGCATCCTCAGGAGTCATGCCTCTTTATAACAGGAACTGATTATGTATAGAAACATGCAAGTTATGAGCAGGAGTGGGGCCTTTGGTCCCTTCAGCTAGTTTGGCCATTTAACACTATCATGACTGATCTAATTGTAATCTGAAAATCACATTCCTATCTACTCCGATAACCTTCCACCGCCTTGCTCACCAATCTATCCACTGTTGCCTTAAAAATGTTCAAAGATTTTTTTTTCAGGAACAGAGTTCCAAAAACACTTGACCCTCAGGAAAAGTATCTCCTAAGCTCTCTCTTAAATTGGCAACGCCTTCTTTTTAAACACTGAGTCCCAAGTTTGCAAATCTCCCACAAGAAGAAACATCCTTTCCACACCCACAAGTCCCCTCAGGATCTTAAGAGAGACTGGGTTTGTTTTCCCTGGAGCAGAGGAATCTGAAGGGGTATCTGATTGAGGTAAACAACGTTATGAGAGGCACAGACAGGTTCGTGACAATGTCTTGCCCATGGCAAATGCATAAGTTTAAGGTGAAGAGCAAATGATTAAGGGGAGATCTGAGAAAAAGAAATTCCACTCAGAGGGTGATAGAAATATGCACTCTGTTGCCTGAGAGGATGGTGGAGGCAGGTATTCTTGCAACATTTAAGAAGCATCTGGATGAGCACATACAGTGCTGCGGCACGGTAGGTTATGGACCAAGTGCAGGTAAATGGGATCAGTGTAATTTTGTTTTTGGTCAGCATAGACAATGGTAGGCTAGGGCTGTTTCTACGCTGTGTGACTCTGACTCTTATGTTTCAATCAAATAACCTCTTATGTTCAGCAGATGCAAGCCTAGTCTGTCCAAGCTTTTCTTAGAAAACGACCTGCTCAGTACAGATATTGGTCCAGTAAACCTTCATTAAACAGTAGCCAATGTCCTTACATCCTTAATACTGTACATAGTACTCCAGATACCAGTGCCTTATACAACTGAAGCATTACCTTGCTACTTTTGTATTCCGTTCCTATGCAATAAATTATAGCATGCTATTCACTTTCCTAATTACTTGCTGCACCCACATACAGAACTACGGTCAATTGTAAAAGGTTAGTAAGTTTTAAGTTACTTGTGGATAAAGATAAAAATAGTCCTCAAGTGCAAGTACTAAACTGGGAGAAGTCTAAGTACACAATATTAGGCAGCAACTGGGGAATGTAAATTAGGGGTGGCTATTTGAGGGTAAATCCACATCTGGCATGTGGAAATCTTTTAAAGGCTGGTTAATTAGAGTTCAGGACCAACATGTTCCTGTGAAAGTGAAGCATAAGCATGGCAAGATTCAGGAACCATGGATGATGAGAGAAATTGAAAGCTTAGTCAAAAATAAAAAGAAGGTGTGTGTATATATAAGGCTTAGGAAACTGAAGATAGATCCCTTGACAAATACAAAAATAGGAAAGAGCTTCAGCAAGGAGTTAAGGGGGCTAAAAGGGGCCATGAAATGTCTTTGGGAAACAGAATTAAGGAAAATCTCAAGGCCTTTATACATAAGGAGCAAAAGGGTAGGCCGATATACAAACAAAGGAAGGAATTTGTGCATGAGGTTGGGATCCTTCGTGAATACTTTGCAGTGGTATTCACAAAGGAGAAAGACATGGTGGATGGTGAGTCTTGGGAAAGTCATGTCGATATTCTAAGGCATATCAATCTAAAAAGGAAGGTGGTGTTGAAGGTTTTGAAAAACATTTAGTTGGACGTCCCGAGGACCTGATGGAATGCTGGGGAAGGCAGGTGAGGAAATTGCTGGGCCTTGTATGAAATCTTTGTATCCTCTTTAGTCACAAGAGGTCCCAGAGCACTAGAGAATAGCCAATGCTCCTTTGTTTAAGAAGGGCAACGGGGATAATTACAGGCCGGTGAGCCTTACATCAGTGGTAGAGGAATTATTTGTGAGCTGGTAAGATGGATACAGAACTGGCTTCGTCATAGATGACAGAGTAGTGGTGGAAGGGTGTTTTTCTGACTGGAGATGTGTGATGAGTGGTGTCCCACAGGGATCAGTGACTTACTGTTCTTGTTGATTACTCACTGAAGGCTAACATGCCGATATCACAAGCTATTAGGAAGGCTAATGGAAGGTTAGCCTTTATCACAAGAGGATTTGAATATAGGAGTTGTGAAGCCTTGCTTCATTTATATAGAAGCTGCACGTGGAATACCATGTGCAGTTTTGGTTTCCTTATCTCAGGAAAGATATTATTACCATAGAAGGAGTGCTATGAAGATTCACCACATCTGTTCCTAGAATAGTGGGACTGACCTGTGAAGAGAAATTGGGCAAACTGAACCTGCTTTCTGTGGAGTTTTGAAGAATGAGAGGTGATCTCATTAAATTTTTAAAATACTTAAATAGACAGGCTAAATATAGACAAG